TTTTATTAAGTAAAGGCTTGTGTCGCTTAAGTTTCGTCGATACGAAGTTACGGAAAATCAATTAAAAAAAACGGAGACGTAACAATACTAAAATTTGAATTATAATCTAAAATTTCATACCAAACTTATTGATATAAATCCATAAAATAGTAGTTCAATAAAATTTTGAATGCAAGTCAACAAACAAGATGACAGGTCTTTGACACACGTCCGGTTGCGATAGGATTATGTAGATGTTTAGGTAGACAAGCATAATGGAAGCTTTAAAATTTAGAAAACCAGATAAATTATTATAGCTACAGAACATTGTTTGCTTCGTGTGTATTATCATTCTGTACTCTTAGGGGCATTATCTAATTAAATAAATATTTATTGTATTTGTACTATAAGTCTAAAAAAGTAGGCTTAAACCTATTCAGCAACTGACAGAAAAAAAAACAGGTCAGAGCTGATATATTTCTTGTTTTTGATGTGCATTCTATATTTTATGCTCATGAACAGATTGTACGTTACGTGTTCAATACAGTGACACAAGCTGCACATTCATCGAGTGATTTACAACTAATGCTGGATTTTTAATTAGACACAAGTGTAAGGGCAATAAAACAATTAAAATTAGATATAAATAGATATATACTGTTAGGAGTTTTAAGGTATTTGACATAAAGAAACTGTAGTTTCATGTTATAACTTAGAGCCATTCTAGAAAGAAAGAAATGTATTTGGTATTTTTGTATGGTGATTACAAGGTTGGTCAAATCAAAGGATTGTGTATAGAGATAATGTAAATAAGATAACACACAAAATATCATTTTACTGAAAAAATCATTTGATATTTATTTACCACATTTTAGAGATTACTCATATGAAATTTAATAACTTTAAGATGAAGAAAGTACTTAAAATCTTACGAAGAAAATCACTTTGCAATTGAAGTAGTCAACACACTAACTCCCTATATTCATGAACAGATTTTCAGTGAAGATGCTTAATTAAACACCTAAGTTTTTGTGTACAAAATACTATTAATGTTTAAAGAATGTCATGAAGATATGGTATAAAAACCTTTATGCTTTTGTATTTTTTATTATGTTTACTATAGGGTTACAAGATCAGTTACACCAGTCAAGTCTGTTGGTAAGTATTGAGCCGGTGTCAAGAAAGTTACATTTTAGGTGATGTCTGTACTTACCACACGTTTTTTCTAACCCTGATTCAATCTCTCTTTGAAATTCAGTTTCTGTTGTCAGGTTCATAACATTATAGAACGAACTATCCTGATTCTCATCATCACTGTAACTGAACTTTGAAACAACTTCTAGTAGATCATCTGGATGTTCCATTTTCACTTGAACAGACATGTTCTAAAATCAAACAAAGCTTGAAAGGGTTAACAGAAATAACAACTAGTGTTAATATTACATACAGTCTCCACAGTTCACTAACTTAAAACATGATGATGTGATTGATAAACCTAACATTTCAAATTTAGTTATATAGGTAAGCAGTCCCAAACTATATAAATACTACATATTCTTTGTCTGATTCTATAGTCAAACAAAAAATTGACATACATCACACTGAAACAAGAAAGACTCAACAATCACTTTCTTCTTTA